GATAAATTTGATTATATAGGATATGGTAAATTTACACATCTAGATGTGTATAAGAGACAGGTGTGTGTGTGTGCGCATGCATGTGCACTGTGTTAAGATGTAAATTATTTTTCTTACATTTTTATGATTGACCTTGAACAAAAATGGTTTGTAAGCTACCAGTGTAGAAATAAGAAGATGAGCTTGTCTTGCTGGTTATGAAACTCTGGGAAATTGAAATCTGTAAGACTGTCCCTAATCTGTAAAATGGAGAAAATGCACTCTACCTCACAGGGTTCATGTAAGAATAATATGCGATAATATGTGTTAAAGCTCCTACCATGATTTCAGTCATATATTAGGCACTCAATAAATAGTCCCCTTTATTAGTGACAATATCACCAATGATAAAACTAACTTGGGACATTTCACAACACATTGAATTATATGCCTGGGAATCTTCAGATGTCTTGACGAGATGATGGGTATTCATGGAAAGTTACAAATTGAAAAACTAGACTAGAGCGAGAGATACACAGTCAGGTAGATCTGTGCTAAGAACACAGTTCTAGAACTATATTTTGTTTCAATTATTCCTTACAGTAGCTTCTGGTTGATTAGGAATCTAGTAGTCATTCAACCCATTAGTTATTTCTCCCAAATACCTCTAAAAATGTCATATATCCCTCAAAGGATAATTGGGGTTTGTCTTCAGGCCTTGTCAGATACACACAATCTGATTTCAGTGGCTTCTGGGTAAGATAGAACTACCAAGTTATTGTGAACATATTTCAGTTAGATTATCACCAGACAGGTAATAAGCAACCTATATCCTTATCACAGTACCGACACAGGTAATAGGTTTCAGAAATAAAGTGAGAACCATTTAAAAACCAAACCCCTAATATGTTTTTACCTCTCTAATATCCATCATGTTTATCCAGAGTTTTGCTTATGTTCTCTTTATTCTTACTCATGGGCAAATCTTTTGATGGTGAAAAAGGATGTCTTCTTCATGGTACTGGTAAATATTTGAAACAAATACATGACTTTATGAATGGATGATTGCTTATTATCAATAGAGAAATTATATTGTGAAAGACTCACATTTTTTTCTTTAGTATTTTGTGAAAAGTCCATTTTAAGTATCTTCCCAACAGATTTATAGCTGTCACTACCTAAAGCAGAGAAAGGTGGGATAGGGAAGTGGGTCTTCAAGCATTCACATGTGCACCAACTCACCTAGGGTAATATTATTCTGACCTGAATACCATCCAGTGGGTGATAGAGCAGTGCCACGTCTGTGGATTCCAAAGAACTCTCCTTCATCTACAACAGTCGTAGGCTATGTCTAGCTGCTATACTGATATTCCAGAGAATTTGGTTATTCTATGCCTTAAAAATACAATTTTCTATGTAGCCTGTGTGTTCTCTATTTTCTTAATTTGTTTTCTGTTTGAGATCACTGTAAATAATTAACAAAATATAAAGACAATTTTTTTTTCCAGGTCTGAGAATGAATAAAGGTGCCATCACCCCTCCCCGGAATACTTCTCCTGCAAATTCAAGTTCCCCAGAAGTAATCCACCTGAAGGACATTGTCTGTTACCTGTCTCTGCTTGAAAGAGGAAGACCTGAGGATAAGCTTGAGTGTATGTGTTTCTTCATTTTGTTTACTTATCACGGTTAGGAGCAGGAGAAAGGACTGAATATTGATTAACTTAAAATTGTATTAGTACAGTTCTATACTTTTTGTGAAATAAAGTGACCCTGCTTAATAGTAAAAATTTCCTCCTGCTGAGAATCAGACAATTAAAAGATATTAAGATCTATTAATTTCAGGTTCTTATCAAGTTCCATTTATTACTGATTACTTCTTGATTATGTTTGTCATATGACTTTAAAAAACTGTTCCTCAGTTCTTTGGAGTTAACAAGATGTTATTAGAAAGTAGCCTTTGAGTAGTTTTCATAAAGCATTTATTTCTAGTGTGTGAAGAAACCTTCCCATTAGTGAGTAAGTAACTTACCTATAAGTATGCAACCTTTTCCCCAGTGGAAATCTCCCTTGCAATCTTCAGCACTAACACTCTTGTTGGCAGAGACACATTATTTCTCAAATGCTAAACCTGAAAGTGTCATTTATAGTATTCGATACTGGATATTATAAATCATTAAGCAATAGCTTTGTTTCTTTTAGGATATGGTGGATAGAGAATTTCTATTCAGTTGAGGGAAAGTAAATTACTGTCTTTAATAAAATATAGTGACTGAGCTCTCTCTGGTGGCTAACTATGCTCATTGCAATATAAGAAAATATTTTTCAAGCGTTTACTCTAAACCTGCTCATTTGATCATCTGTTCTATCTCTGAGGCTCTTTGTAAATATAGTCCTGGCAGCTTACTCAATAATCTGATAAATTTGATTATATAGGATATGGTAAATTTAATGAAGAATGTTTGCTACTAGAATGATAGTGAAGATAATAGATCTAAACTTTAATACTTCTAAAGCAAATATAAATAATCATGCTGTCTCAGAATGATTATTGGGAGGCATTTTTAGTTAAATTTAATAGTAACTTTTTGATAATATTTCTCCTTCCAATAAAAGATTTACTGTAATGTGATTATTTAAGAGTCACACCTGCTTAGGTTATGAATAAACCATATGAATATCGTTCTTTAAATATATATTTATTATTCATAAATGTTGAATATTTGCATTTCAAGATTTATTTTGTATTCCTAAGAAGTTACAGAAATCTGTCTCATTCCAAAGTAAATATTAATGTTCAGTGAATTTCTATTGAAGTGACAGCCAGAGAGAAAGTTTGCTCAGGTGTTATCGGGAGCACGTTTGGGATGATTATAAACATATAAAGACAAACATTTTTTCCACATCTGAAAATGAATAAAGGCACCATCCATCCTCCCCAAGATGGTATTTGGTCTTGCAGTTTAACTATTTCTGGGTCAGCTGGATGTATATTGCTTTTAAGGTGGAATTTCTGAGAAGAATGCTTTTGAGTTTTCAGTGTGCATCCTTGAACCCACATAGATTTTGTCCACAGTTGCAGATAGAATGTTAACTCACCGCACTTTTCAAAAAGACATGATGAATCTCGTCCAACTGACCTGCCATTTACTTTTCTTTAGTGTTCTCAACCCCCTTCTCTGTTTTTTTCTTTGAGTTTCCCAGCTTTTTTTCAAGCTTACACTAGATGCATTACATTTTCCTTTCTTTAAAACCATTTCTTCAGACCGTTCTTATAGTCAGTGTTGCTGTGGCCCAGAATTATCATTATCATTTTCACTAAACTCTCAAAAATACATGATGCTGTAGGTCTGTTTTCTCATATCCTCTAATTTGGTGATTCTTACCACGGCTATACATCAGAATCATCCAAAGTTTGGTTTTCTTTTTCTTTTTTAATGCCAATGCCTGGCCCTTTCCTATGTCAATTAAATAACAATCCATCTTCCTCACCCACTTTCTTAACAATTTACCATATATTTTTACTCTTCTAAATTGCATACGTAAAAATTACTAACATGTATTCTTTTACAGTTACAGATTTTTAAAAACGAATTCTCAGTAGGACTCCAAACATTTGTATTGATGGTTAGTTTAATACATACTTACTCCAAAAGGGTTACAACTTATTAAGTACAGTATAGACCAAAAGAATGAAAATGAGAAAAAGCAATTATAATTAACACAGAAACACACGTGAACAAGCACCTAAAATTAACTTTTGCAGGTCAGTGTTGAATTGGATCTTATTTCCAGGTAGCTAAGCAGAAAGAAATACACACACGTTGATTTAGGTTAGAGGTTCTCAAAGTTTATCACACATCAGAATCACCTGCAGGACTGGTATATCAGATTCAGCTGACCTGGGGTGGGATCTGAAAATGTGCATTTCTAAAAGTTTCCAGGTGATGCTGATGCTAATATTCCAGGGACCACATTTTGAGAAGCACTGGCTTATGAAATTCCTTCTGTCCAATGAAAACACACATACACAAAGAATTCACCTGAAATAAGAGTTGTTTTTCTTGGAGTTGATGAATAGTGACAGTATTTGTTAGGTACTTTTACCTGGGTTATTAGATAAAAGAATTACACGGTTGTCAATGTTTATATAAGTAGTACTTTATTTCCCCAAATAATATTTTAAAAATCTATTCAGTGCCTCCCACCACTTTCCATTGCCTGTCTTTTCTGTCGGGCATTTACAAAATGTTTATTGTAAAGCTTATTCCATTAAAAAACAGCAAACAAAAGTTCCCAAATGTTTTACTGATTACAAGAAGTCCTCACTTAACATCCTCAATAGGTTTTTGGAAGCTGTGACTTGAAGTGGAAACATGTATATAACAAAACCATTTTTTTTGCTCATCAATGTTATAACAAAATATCATGGAAGGAAAGGATGTTATTCGAGAACCCTCTGTACATTGTTTTGCTTGAAGTCACAGTTTCCCAGTATCTAGCAATCATATTGAGTATTTACCATGTAAGTCACGTCTTCATTTCCTTTACGCAATCCTACTTCTCTCTGAGGACCTTCCCCGTCCCAAGGCTCTATCAGGTAGAAGGTGTTTGTTACCCTTGGATGTGTGCTTTTGCATGCATGCATACGTGCATGTGTGCCTGTGTGTGTTGGGGTTGTGGGGAATTCCATTTTTATCTCCCCTTGTTGGTACCAAGTACCAACCGCCCCTGTGAATGAACAAGGATGGGGTCTCAGGGTTGATTTGCCCTTCTAACTTCAAGTGCTCCTTCACACTTTAAGGAGAGACATCAACCTCTCTTTTACCCTCAAATCCTGTGGCTTTGCCTCCATTTTATTTCAGCCCTTCACTTCTATTACAATACTCCAAGCCTTGTAACTGCCGAGAACTGCTATTATTCTAAAACTAAACTGTCAATTTTACTTTGATCCCAGCCTGTGTTCACTTAGCTTCTCACTCTCCTACTTTTAATTTAATTATTGCATAGTACAGTAATTAAGAACCTTGACTCTTCATTTATAATGATTGAATGCAAACCCTAGGTTGAGAATTAACTGTCTCAGTGATCTGAGTACATTTTTAAAACTTCCTCAGGACTCAATTTTCTCAACCGTAAAATTGGGATGATTAAATAGTCTCTATCCCATAGGATAACTATGAGTATTAGATAAACATATTTTTTCACATATGTCCCTTCACATTTATTACTTCACATAAATGCATGTTAGGCGAAATAAAAGTAAATTAAAACTGTTTTACCCTTGCCCACTTTACTTTCTCTTGAATTTGCCTGCTGACTTTTGGTTGTCCATCCTTTCAAATTTGAACTGATCTCATAATCCTTGATGTCAATTAGTTTTTCACACTTAATTTCAGATATTCAACTTATTTTCTCCTGTACTATACTGAGTGGCAGAGACTTGGTGAAATAAAAATATAATTCTTTGGGTTGTAGGTCTACTCAAAACCTCAGCTGGCCTTCAGTGCTCGGTCCAGTGCTCGGTGTTTCTCTCGTCTAGTTTTCTAGTTAAAAGTTAATCCAGATAATGATTTCTTTTTCCAAACAGCTACCTATTTAATCATCATCTTACTCATTAAGTGTATGTTCTTGCAAATTCCTTTTATGTTACTTAAAACCTTATCAACTAATATACTTTTTTTTCTGTTTCTCTTCTGATTCAGAGTGAAAAAGTCCCTTTGACAATTCCTGATTTCATAATGCATAAAATTGAAACCCTTAACTGGGCATGCATACACTGATCTGACTCCACACTCTGCCAGGCTTGCTTTGACTGTGACCTACACACATATGCACAAACCATGTTCTAGTCACATGGGTCAATTTTTCTATCAGCAGACAAACCCTGAACTTTTCCACTTTCATCCCTTTGATTACAATGTGCAATTGCTGGGTTTCACCCCTCTGCCTCCCCACAGTGTATATTTGATAGAGTCTAGTCCACATTTGAGGCTTACCCTGCATCATGAATCTCTTGCCATCTCCTAATTGGATTTATTTTGCTCTCTTTTGTACCCTTGCACCTACATCTGTGTGTGTGTGTGTGTGTGTGTGTTTCAACAGGTAGATGCTCAATAAATGATAGTTAAATGGAAGTATATTAAAGTCAATGGATAAAAATAAAGTCAATGAGTGCCTGAAAATATAAAAATAACATCAACTATTTAAGATATCGAATAATACTAGCTTTATATTTTTGACTTTAAAATACATGATATTCACATTTGAATTTGTGCTTATCAAGTTACTAATGATTCAACAAGAATTTTAAATATTATCTTACATTTCCTTAAAATGTATCACTAAAGAGAAAATCAATAGGGAAATATTCAGAAAGTAGATAACTGACATACAGAGACTGAACAGTCACCTACATGTTAAAAGTTACTTCCCCGTGCAGTGTTAACCTTAGAAACAATGAAATTTAATAGTGAAGAGAGCTTAAAGATCACCTAGTCAACTTTCCTATAGTTTGTCAATGAAAAAAAAAAAAAAAATAGAGGGTGGTTATTAATTACACTACCAGTTTATCTAGTTATGACTAAACCCCATAATTTCTGAGCTACTTTATAGGACTCTTTTTATTTTGAAAAGCTGTCTTTTGTTGTTTTTA